GGATGAAGGTTTTGAACCCAAGACCATAAGTTGATAGATAATAATTCTACCACTAGATGAAAATGTAATGATGACAACAATATGCCATGCAAAAGTAGTATTTAACCTCATACAGTACAGTACAGTTTTTAAACTACTCTAACGTTTTCTTAACCCCTGTGGAACTTTGAAATAACCTCCCCTCTTTCCCCACCCCCGCTTAGCAACTCAGTGAAGTACTTCAGTAAATTATTTACAGCAAATGTGGGAGATTTACAGACCGGAAATGGCCCATTGTCCTTGAAGGAGGTTCTGGGCCTAATTCATGGAGCTCTAACAAGGACAACTAATGCTTTTTCTACAGTACTGAGTGAAGACAATGGTCAGCAGACTGACATGTTGTCTATCACACCCCCAACACATGACTCTCAATACAATCGGTTAATTGGTGATCTATTAGCTGTCATGTCTGTCAGAGTATTGCATCCCTCGAAATAATTCATTTTTAAAACTCCAGGTAAAACTGTGAGGTTTGGCCGACAACTAGATATCATTTGAGCTAATGAGTTAAGAATCTGCTACACATTTGTAAATCTACTATTGTTATTTGATAATGATTTTGACCCCAAAAGAGCAAGCAGCACATTTTTGTAGGTTTGAAGATGCGTGTTTATTTCCTGAGTATATTTATCATAAATGTCCTGTGACATATTTAAACAATACAGGGATTTCATGTATATAAAAATAAATAGAATCTTTTTTTTTTTAATTCAAACTTTTGGATTAACCTCTAACCAAAGGTTTTGACAACATTCTGGGATAATGTTTTACATACAACTTGAACCACTTAATATATTCCCTTTAAATTTAACTTTTTTTCTGGTCATCATATATATTTATATATATATATGTATACATTTGGCAAATATATAAATATATATTTGGTAAATATATTTGGTAATATATAGCTAAAAAATATATATGCAGCTCTTTTCCTGTCTTTTTTCATGCCAGTGGCGAGTAAATATTGACTCGAGGCCCACGACACTATCTCTCTTGACTTGCACAGCCACACGCAAACGCACACGCACACACACACGCACACGTCGAGCGTGTCCACTGGAGGTGCAGCAGTCCCGCATACCCACACAGACACACATTTTTCTGTACGTGCCTTCACAGTGCAGACAGAGGTTGTAAATATGGCGGCGGACGGGATGGTGCTCACTAACCACGACCATCAGACTCGAGTGGGGATCTTGACAGGTTGGTGGACAATAACCCAATGATTTCAAACGCTTCTTCGTGCTGCACCTGTGTGCGCGTTCGTCGCAGGTTGTTCGTTTCCGTAGACATGACGGTACGGGCTTTCTCTCCGCTGCAGAGCCAGCTAATGTTGGGATGGATGCTAACGTTCGTTGGCAGCCAACTGTCAAGCCACACGGCTTTACCGTCACCTTATTTACTGTTGCGTGTTCACGTTTAAATGTCAACCGTGTCCATTACTGTCATGTTCGGTGTTGTAGCTACACATCAGGCAGTGTTTAGCTGCTGGAGCAGCTAAAGGCAAACACTTCCAACACCACCAACCAGTGTCCCAGTGCGCTATGAACCAGAAATTGTACTTTTATTTTGAAATGTACACTGACACTGTCCTGGTTCTCTTTTGTTTTATGTTTGCGAGCTTGACGCGCATGGTTTTTACAGCAGTGTAGTTATGGAGCCTGTGTCAGCTGCATTATTCATGTTCCGTTGCAGATACGATACGTTGTTTTAAACAACGTTTCTCTGGCGGTTCCGTTGACAGCCATTTTATACGTTGGTCCAACGGTTGTTTTCATGTGAAATTCGGCCACGTTTGTAAAACACTAACATGGCGTTTGTCGTCATATTATGCTAAGAGGATAAAGTGGTTGGTAAAATTGTGTCATCTTCGTGGGTAAGTGAGAGTCGTGCTAACGGCTGTGACGGTCTACTCTCCAGTATGTATCCCTGCTGTCTCCTGGCTGAGGCAGAGAGGGACGTGAGTGTCATGTTAAGAGGATGTGAGGGAGCAGCACAAACGGCAGCTGTTGGCCGGTTACACTGTCATGGTTTATCTGGATACATACACTGCAGCTCCGTCTGTCATAGTCATCCTCCTGACACGACACCCACTGACTCCACTTGTCACGCGTACACACGATACTCAGCCACTTCATGTGTGTGCGCGTGTGTCATGCTATACACATCCCGTCTGAAAACGCAGAGGACATTTTAACAGCGTTCTTTGATGCGGAGATTCGCCGTCATCGTGGCCTTGAAATCAAAACTCCAGATATATAAAAAAACGAATTCGTAAAATATTTTTTAAAAACCAAACCCATTAAATGGGTTTTCGTCATGAATGTATGTCTGTGGAGCCGTTTTAAGAGGACGGCAGATATCTCGTCTGATCCAATTGGATTCACTGCAATCGGTTGTTCATAGTGGAGTCCTGAGAGGCGCCAGGCCAACACACTGAGATACACTCCCTAGATTTACACTTTATTTATGTCACTTGAATGTTAGTTTTGTTATTAATTGTCACAGTTTCCCTCATAAATCTCTTAAGCTTTTAACTGTATCACAGGATAGTTGGTACTGTGTTCGTCAGCCCTGTGTGTTTTTTTGTTTGTTTGTTTTTTCCTTTACTATTGTTAGTGTTTGGAAATCTCTGGATTAAATCTTTACCAATAAAAAGCAGACCATGCAGATTATATGAGAATATCTGTCCCTAAAGTTAGTGTGTTCATTTTTATTTGTCCCAATATTACATTGTAAACTGATTAATTTGACAGATACATGCCAACATCTGTCTGGATGTTCTCAGCCAAAATTCTGAGAGGAAGGAAAAAATATTTTATTTTTAAACACAACACATTATGTAATTCATGCTTTACCAAATAAATACAAAGCGACTGTAGTCATGCCAGTGCAGCAACAGTAGCAGCTAGCACAGAAGCTAAGAAAAAGTACTTACTGTGTATATATAGGACATTCATATTAGTATTTAGCCCACAGGCCACTTTGCCTTTAAAGAACAATGTATACATTTGAAATATTGTCCAAAAATATGTAAAAATAAAGTAATACTAGTTCTCGCTAATAACATTGACTAGTAATATATTTAAAAGAGAACCAAGTTTTTTGGACCAAAATATACTGTATTTGCTCACATTTCAGTGGACTGTCGCAATATACTGAGAAAATATACCAAACATGTATTCACCTGTGTCATTCTGTGTTTAATAAATTCTATTCAGTAACTCAACAACAGAACAAGAAAGTCTGTAATTATAGCCCAGCATGAGAGTAAATACTGCCTGGACTGCTGTTGTACTATAGCAACAGTCACTAACCTTAAACACTGACAGGGCCATTTTTATCATTTTACCCACAGAAGAACACATTATAACATTCATGTTATGGTGGTAGTGGACTGTTGAAATGATGTTGTACCACCTACGTAACACAAAATGCATTGATTTGCATGCAGGCCTTGCTCATTTCCAGCTCATTAGCGTTCATATTAGCACTGTATGCCACATTCACTCGATGCCCTATTGTGGCCTGTTTTTTGTATGATGCATGAATTTAGTTTAAATTCAAATTTTGTTAAAACTTTACAGTCCCAGCCAATGTGTTTTCTACTTATCCACTCACATAAATCAAATATGATGTCGCAGACAATGCAAAAAGAGTCTCACGTGGCTCAGGACCACAGGTTGTAGATCTCTCACATCATGTGTTTTCCATTGATGGCCGTCATGTTTAGTCCACGCCAATGTGGTTTTGCTACCTGGTCCTTTCTGTTGCTGGTTTATTGGTTGGTCGTAAATCACTCACAGTTTGAAGGTGGTTAAAGAGATTTGTCGTGTTGCTGCATGGTACAGACACCACACCAGTGAACTTAGTTTACTTTTCCTCCTGACTAAACACTGCTGCTCCTCTTGTCTTTCTTCCATCGTAACTTAGACTGACTTTTTAGTGCATGTGTGCAGCGTGTGCATGTGTTATTTAGGGCTTATTATGGTGTTGTTTCAAATTCCTAAGTTTATACTGTGTAGCACACGTGTTTTCTACCTATGTTTAGAGTTGAGCTTTTAAGGGAACATATGCCCGACTGACTTTTTATAGGTTTTGGTACACAAATTTCTGTCTTTGGAGTATTGGTCTACTTCTTAATTACCACTTCCAACAACTAATTAGATGTTTTATAATCAAAATCTGTAAATGAGTCTCCAAACAAGACGTTCCAATTTACCCACATTGTGATGCTAAAACACAGGCGATTATGATAATCCAAACAGTACTACCACTGCTACCACCTGTGTGAGGATTTACCATTTGCTTTACTTGTATGTGATTGCAAAACCACTATGGTAGCACAGCCCAAAAGCTAAGCACAGCTGCTCATTTAATGCAGTGCTAAATGAACACAAGCTATATTATGTAATTTGGTGTTTGAAGTGGTTTGCTTAGAAAAGAAAGGTAGAAAATGGTGATATTACATATTATTATAAATATGACAGTATTATGGCTTATTGCTAACCAACCATTATGAATAGAACATGTTTTTGTGCAGATTTAATATTTCTGTTTGAGTAGATATATTTATAGACTACAAAAGTATTGTTGAAGTACCTACATTTAGTGCAACCCAGTAAAAGACATCAGGGTTTTACTGTAGCAGTTTAGAAAAAACTCTGAAAGCTTTTATCTAAGTTAGTTATAAATCAGTATTTTAATTAAATACTAACATACTTAAATCTTCTGTCTCTCTCTGTCTCTTCAGTAAGTGACAGCTGTTTTAAGAACCTGGCTGAGGACAGGAGTGGAGTCAACTTGAAAGACCTCGTCCATGATCCATCACTGTGAGACTTTATCTGGTCAGAAATCAGGATGCTGACATTCTGAACACATATACTTACTGTATCTGTCTCCTCCTGCAGGCTTGGAGGAGTCATAGCAGCCTACAAAATAGTTCCAGATGACATTGAAGAAATTAAGGTTTGTGAATCTTTTCAAATGTTCAGCTCTTTACTGATAAATGCTTTTTGATCTCCTCATTATTGTTTTCTCCTTTCTTGTTCCCTGTGAGGTTTGCCACAGTGGATTATCTGCCTCCATCTCTCTCTCTCCTCTGCTTCCTCTGCTTTGACACCAACTATCTTCATGTGCTCTTTCATAACATCCACAAATCTCTCAGGTCTTCCTCTTCTACTCCTACCTGGCAACTCCACCTCCAACATCCAACATCTACTTTGTCCAATATATCCGTCGTCTCTCCTCAACACATTTCCAAAACCATCTCAATCTCTCCTCTCTAACTTTATCTCTCCCTCATTTTTACACTAAATGTTAACTTTGTTATCTTTTCAATTCAGCACAATAGTTTATTGTGCTTTATCAGAGCTCACACTGACTTTGTCCATTTCTGTCCACTAAGCTGCTGTCTTCAGCATTTAATTTAGTCTTGAACGTAAATGTAGACCATTGACACGTAATCTGCCTTGAGCATGTATTTTTACAATACGTTTGCTAATTACAAAGCCAAAGAAAAATATACATCAACCAGTCAATACATCGTTTTTCTATTGTCACATACAAACAGGAAACTCTTCTGGAGTGGTGCGATGAGCAGGAGCTAAATCTCATTCTTACCACTGGAGGCACCGGTTTTTCACCACGTGATGTCACTCCTGAGGTAAAAGTAATATGTTGATTACAATATTTTTTTTAAGTGCCTTAGGTGTCTATGGAGAAGGATCAAAATAAAAAACAAAAACGCAGTGTCTCTAACATTTTGGTTTTGTGCTGCAGGCCACCAGAGATGTAATAGAGAGAGAGGCTCCAGGTATGGCTCTGGCCATGCTGATGGGATCACTCAACGTTACCCCACTAGGCATGCTGTCCAGGTAAACGTTCAGCGATAAATACAGGAGGGCTTTGTCTTTACCACAAGTCAGAATTTGCATATTGTACTTACACTTGGGATCCATAATGAAGGGCAAAAAGTAAAAAAAAACACAACACAAACAAAAGAGTGAACATGCATGTTCACTCCATTTTCACCTTCACAAACAAAAGAGTGAACATGCATGTTTACTCCATTTTCACCTTCTTCTGCTTCTTTTTTTTATCATTCCTAGGCCAGTGTGTGGTATTCGAGGTAAAACTTTGATCATCAACCTGCCAGGAAGCAAGAAAGGCTCTCAGGTATGGTCCTCACACCGGAGCATGATTCGCCAGTCAAGGCCTATCATTTCGATAACAGGCCGATTTCGAACACTGGCCGGTCGATTTGTTCACCTCTGTTTTAAACCTGTAAACGGTCAATAAAATATTTGTGTTTATCATGGTTCAGATAATATGGATGTCAATGATTGTAATTTATTAAAAATTGAATTAAATAAGAAAATGAAACTGTTCTTTGCAGGAGTGCTTTCAGTTCATCTTGCCTGCCCTGCCACATGCAATTGACCTGCTGCGAGAGGCTGCAGTCAGAGTCAAGTCCACGCATGCCGCCCTGGAACAGCTGCCCTCCCCGTCGCCCCTGCTGGCCAACACACACACTAACACGCACACTAACACCCATACGATGGAGCGCGGAACCCAGTGTGAGGAGGAGGATGATGATGAGGAGGAGGACCGGCGGAGGGATCACCACACCCACAATCACCACCATCACCATCATCACCACTCCCAGCATGGCTCTTCCCACATCACCGCAGCTGCTATTGCTGCCAAGGTAACCTGTTGTACACACACAACAAGACCAATGCTGCTTTTTAAAACATGACAGTCACTGTAGGAACAAGATGTCACTGCTCACATGACCTTTTAAGCTAGTGTACATAGCAACATATATCATATGTCCGGAGACTGAACCAAATGGCAATGGAAATAAAACCACATTGTGTAAAAGCTGCAGCTCTACATTAGGCTCAATTAATGTTTTAAATTCATCATATAAACCTCATGGAATATTAGCCCCCAATCTCTCAGTACAGGGGTTACAAGTAATACAGCAAAGTACTCCTTTGGAAGGACATACATGGTTCGACTGTACACATGCTCACAAGATTAGTTCAGAGCTACTTAATGTTTCAAACAAAGGTTTTTATATTTAAAAAAAGTGATACTTGTTAAATAAAGACTTTTTTTTTTACAGTTTTTAATCTTTTGCACTTTTATGATAACATTCAATTTGAATATTTTACGTGAAGTGCTTGAAAATGAAACAGGAACAGCCTGAATTCACTTTAGTCATTATCTAAATCTTCTTAGTGTAGACGTTGACTTTAGGGATAAGCACAAATGTTGATTAATAGATTAAAGTGTTTAGATTCTGACGTGTAATAGATGAGAGTGTTAACTGTGTAGAGCGGTGATGAGTAGCCACAGCTGCCAATGTCAAAAAGCAGTAATAGAAGCTGATATTTTATGTTTGTGTGAACTTTTTGTAACTTTTCGCTATTTGTTCAGGTTCATTCACCTTTCTGTCTGTGTACATTTGCATCTGTGTGTCTGCTCACGTGTTCGTCCTGCATGTGTGTATCCACCAGACAAGCCATGCAGTGGTCATGGCTAAAGGGGGGTCCTATCTTCCTGGTGCATCACCCACCCCACCCACTCATTTCACCTGCTCCTGTAGCCCTGATCCACAGGTGAGATAAAACCCATCATGTCATGTCACGTTGTTGGTCATCTGATTAGGTTATGATGTAACACACTCAATCCACAATGAGTTGTTTTTTAACCACAAACACATGTTTTCAAGCTTGTTCCATTTTCTTGATCTAAGACTCATCACGTTAGAAATGTTTGTTTTTGTTTGTTTGTTTGGGGGGAAAAACATTCTAACAAGTTTTGAAAGTGCACATACTTTTACTCCCAAAATAAAGCCAGGATGTTGTTAGAGCTGTTTTCTGACACCAGAAGCCAATTTCAGAGAGTTCTTACTCACGTAAATGAGCTAATCCAGCAGACAGAACACTGTAGCTATGCTAACTGGGAGTTAGAGACAATTACCTGGAGGCCTCATGGTCTCGAACACTGTAGCTATGCTAACTGGGAGTCACAATTACCTGAAGGCCTCATGGTCTCTTGTTGAACTCTAAACAATATATCTGATTTATTAATGGTTGCTTATGTATGTTGTAGAAGGTTGTATGTAACCAACCTTTGTGTTGTGTATGTTTTTTCAAATACTTTATATGTGTGTGTGTGTTTGTATGCAGATACCTGATTCGATCATCTCTCGAGGCGTTCAGGTGCTACCTCGAGATTCTGCTTCTTTAAGCTCCACCCCTTCTGAGTCTCCGCGGGCAACACAGGCAACCTCCCGCCTCTCAACTGCCTCCTGCCCAACTCCTAAGGTATTATGTATACACAGACTCTGTTATTAAATCGTTTTTTTTAGCCTTGTGATTAGAATGTAGCGCTGGGTAAACGCAGCCAGAACATTTCAACAGAGAATTTTACATTTCATTACAATTCGCATTTTTAACAAGACGTTTTTTGTTTGCTTTACAGGTTCAATCACGTTGTGGCAGTAATGAGAACATTCTGAGAGCCAGTAAGTCCTCTGTGTTTGTGTGAGTGCATGTGAGCAGGTGTTCTACGGCAAAGCACAGCTCATGTTAAACAAACAATCTGAATATGTAGGAAGAATCTGAAAAAGTTTTGAAGATCGTTCCTAAGCCAATAAAATAGCTCGTTCTGAACACATCTGCTAAAATGAATGTGTGTGTGTGTGCGTTTGTGAAGGTCACAGTGCAGTGGACATCAGTAAAGTCGCACGCCGCCATCGGATGTCCCCGTTCCCATTGACTTCAATGGACAAAGCCTTTATCACTGTTTTAGAAATGACACCTATTCTGGGAATTGAAGTCATTAACTACAGAGGTGAGTCTTTTGCATGAGTTAAGGATGATCCTTCAAAGCTTGAATGATATTTACTAGGGTTTACTAGGGTTGTTGTTTTTTCTGACGTCTTTGCAGCTGGTTTGGGTCGAGTCCTTGCTCAGGACATCTATGCCAAAGATAACCTTCCTCCCTTTCCTGCCTCTGTGAAAGATGGCTATGCTGTTCGAGGTAAGGCCGCAGTATGTTTAATTTGTGCTGGGCAACAGTCAAAAAATATAATTGTGATTAATCTTTCTTTTTTGTACAAAATTCAATAATAAATTCCAAAATTGTATTGTTATTTTTTAAATACCAGTACTGATATATAAACAAAATTGCAGGAATATACATTATAAGAACATTAGTTCCCAGCAGTATTTTTTTCATGCACTACCAGTTAAAATAATTCTTGTGACTTTTGAAGTTTTTGTAATTGAATCTGATATGCAACTGAAGCTACTTGCCTCTTCTGGGTCATTAACATTTTATCTAGTTTGTTATAAAAATGTTTCCCTGTGAGACCTGCACCATGTTCATAAAATTGTACCAGGCAAATAACTTTGATTCCAATAACTTGTTTGTCCCTGCCGGTTCCTTTCTGCTCCACTGTCCTGACATTTCAACATACCCATCAGAACATCATGTGCTATGTTACTACTACATGGCTTAGGCCGAGACGTATAATTATTCATTGAATTTCACTGATGTGTGATGATAACAGCGCCTCCTGTGGTCTGTCTGTTTGTTTATCCAGAGCCAGTGAGCAACAGACTTTTAAAATTATAAAATTAGAGAACAACTGTGTTGACAAACGATAAAACATTGATCAGCATTAACTTGTGGTGGTACAATTTGAATTGTTCTGATTTACACACATGCTCACAGTAATGGCCTGTCATTTAAAACCCATCCATAACCTCATTCTAAAATTACACTGTTATTGTTTGACCTGTTAGATAGATGAAGATTAACTTGTCTAACATATAATGCTTTTGAAAATCACTACCCATCTATCATGGAGACATGAACTGGACATTAACTGGATTGAACTAATTCTCATTGGCCTGTAGCTGCTGACGGCCCCGGAGACCGTTTCATCATGGGAGAGTCACAGGCTGGACAACAGGTCAGCTCTAACACGCTAACACACATGTTCAGTCTCAACACTGTCTACAACTGTCTACAACACCACTGTTAGCATCTCTGCCTTCAGGCCTGGGCAGCCCGTCTTCAGATCACCATCCATTCCCATTTCTTTCACATAATGTGACTGTTACTACTGCAACTTATCAGTCTTTTGTTGGTCTCTGCAGCCCACTCACACTGTGATGCCAGGTCAGGTGATGAGGGTAACGACTGGGGCTCCGATCCCCTGTGGAGCTGATGCTGTGGTGCAGGTGGAGGACACAGAACTGCTGAGGGAGTCTGAGGATGTAAGTTCTTCATGTTAATGGAATCTTTGGATTTTTTTTCCCAGGAAGGGGTCACCACAGTTATAGTCCCAATGCAGCCTGTCTGCATCACTAATCCCAATCTCACTCTTTCACAGGGCACAGAGGAGTTGGAAGTCAGGATTATGGTCCAGGCTCGACCAGGACAAGACATCAGGTAAATGTTAAAAGTGAAAAATGAAGCAAACATGCATGTTAATGCTGGAGCTGCATTAGTTATGTATCTGAGTGTGTGTACACAGACCAATAGGTCATGACATCAGGCGAGGGGAGTGTGTATTGGCCAAGGGAACACATATGGGCCCGTCAGAGATTGGCCTGTTGGCTACAGTGGGAGTGACTGAGGTCAGCGTGCACAAGTTTCCTGTTGTGGCCGTCATGTCCACTGGAAATGAGGTACCTGTTCTCAGCCCAATGACATGTGCTAGAAGTCAGAAATGTGGAATAACAGTTCTTGATGGAGTCTGTGTCTGTGTGTGTGTGTGTACGCAGCTGTTAAATCCAGAGGATGACCTTCACCCAGGGAAGATCAGAGACTCTAACCGCTCCACTCTTCTGGCCACCATCCAGGAGCATGGGTACCCCACTATCAACCTGGGCATCGTTGGCGACAAGTATGAGCACATCATGTAGAGCAGGGGTGACTGCACTGATTTAGGGCTTTTGTTTGGGAGCTACCATTCAAATGACAGGGTTTAAGCAACTACACTACACTGAAAGGAAGTTCCTCGGACACTGTCATTGGAAACCCACTAAAAAGCCTGTATGTTGTTTTATATATATATACACAGTATATATATAGTTATTGTTTGTATTATTAACTTATAGAGTAATGACATGACTTCCACTCACTGACTTGCTCGCATGGTGTGCTGTGTCACAATGACAAATAAAGATAAGTTTAAGTTTAAGTTGTTTTTTTTTAAGATCCAGATCACTTCACTGTTGAAAATGCCACCTTGTGTTTGCAGCCCTGATGACCTGCTCTCAGCTCTCCACGAAGGTATTAGTCGCGCTGACGTCATCATCACGTCCGGGGGCGTGTCCATGGGAGAGAAGGTACTTTGGATTTGGTGCTTTGGTACTCACACAGTTTACACTCTTAAGTACTACTTCAGACTCCACTTAACTATAATTTTAACACTATCACTAAACTTGTAGTATAATTGGACAAAATAAATAAATTACAAATATGTGTTGTTTCCAAAATGTAGGACAAATTAAGAAAATGCTGGAACAGAAAAAATCTTAGACTGTTGCCAGAAAATAGACATTCAACTTAATCCTCCCATTTCCAGTGTCCAGTTTTTTTTATATGTATTCTGTCATTGCTTCCCTTTTCTGGTTTGGGAGTTGAAGAAGAAACAAAACACTGACTGTGAAGTTATGAGTTCATGTTCTGATTACAGTATTTGATCACAAAGTGGACTGAGTTGTGCTGCTGTTCTGACAGAACAGCTGAGTCGTTGTTAGTGTCCACACGTGTCTGATCCTCTGTGTTTCTGACAGGACTACCTAAAGCAGGTGCTGGATATTGACCTTCATGCTCAGATCCATTTTGGACGAGTTTTTATGAAGCCGGGGTAAGATGGGTCCGGGGCAGGTGTTTTTAGTCCGATATGTTCCTTCAACCAGTGAAAACCAGTGAAACCCAACTGTTCCTCAGTTTTGACAACAGAAGCTAATGTAAAGGACTTGAGCTGCAGAATAAATGAATAATGTTTAGTAATGGAAGGCCACGCCTGTTCCCCATGACTACTACTTTTCTCTTCTGCACTAAAATCGTTTTTCCTGAACTCGTGCTTTATGCTGGAACTGAACACCTCTTTTTGACCTTGTTTGTGCACTCTCTGAAATTCTCTGGCGCCCCCTGGTGGAGGCGCCTCTCACTCTTTGTAAGCCCTAGGTTTAGGATCTGATCAAGATAAAGAGATTAACAAAATAAAAAGACAGGATGATTAAATCATGATTGAAAATGGTGCTACTTTGATGTAATCCTACTTTCATCTACATCGTGTTGACTAATATTGAAACATTTGTCTATACTTTATTGTTTTACATTTCTGAAGGGAACTCCCGAGGGATTAATAAACTGCTTTCTATCTGCCTATCTATCTAAATGGAAATTTTAATAAATGAGACGAGTATTGGGGACACATTGAGAACATAAAAAATATATATACATGGGATTTGTATCAGTAAGTATAGTAGTAGTACAGGTCCATGTGTTTTTTTCTTTAATACAGAAAAATTCTTTCAGTCCTGATGCAATGATAAAATTACGGATTTTCCTTGCAAAATTACAACTTTTTTATTGAAGTTTAAACATCACTAATGTCAGTTTAAATAAGAAGTAACATCAGAGTATTGTTTTACTGGCATCTGTTCGTGCTTATATTTCCTTTTCACAGGAAATATAAGCTAATGACATCATTATGACTCATACAACAGTGCTGTTAATGCTAATACACTAGCAGTAATATAAATAACAGCTATCACTGCGTCTTCTCATGATGTCTTGATGATCTCTGTGTCTCTTCTGCAGTCTTCCTACTACCTTTGCCACTGTTGACATTGATGGTGCACGAAAACTCATCTTTGCTCTACCAGGTATTTAGATGTATTTGTATGTCTGAACTAATCAGTGCAAATGACATTCATTGTCATTTTGCCTTTTATATACTTGATGAGTACTAAAGATTTTCAGTGGCGTGAACCACTGCAATACTGATGAATGAGCTGTTGGACATTTCCACCACATTCCTTTCTGTGTTCTTCTCCAGGTAACCCAGTGTCTGCAGTGGTGACTTGTAATCTTTTTGTTATTCCTGCACTGAGGAAGATGCAAGGCATCCTGGACCCTCGACCTACGATTATTAAAGCTAGGGTACGACATACAGATAAGAGAATTTGATCTTTGCCGAAGGTCCAGTCACACAGTGTAAGTTAAACAGCTCTTCTGTTTGCAGACTAACGTGTGTGTGCATGTGTGTGGGTTTTTTTAGCTTTCCTGTGACGTTAAGTTGGATCCCAGACCAGAGTATCATCGCTGTATTCTCACCTGGCACCACCAGGAGCCGCTGCCGTGGGCACAAAGCACAGGTATATATGCAGGACAGTACACAAAACCCATCTGTTACACAAAATGATTTTCATTATAGAAAGATTATTAAACTGAACTCACATCTAAAGCCAAACCTGGACCAATCATCAACTCTTCTTCCCTTCCTCTCTGTCTGTCTGTAGGAAACCAGGTTTCCAGTAGGCTAATGTCCATGAGAAGTGCCAACGGCTTGCTGATGTTGCCTCCTAAAACTGAGCAGTATGTGGAGCTCCATAAGGGGGAGGTTGTTGATGTCATGGTGATTGGACGACTATGATGCAGGTGAATCACACACACACACACACACACACACACACACACTCATGTAGTTCATCTTCTTTTACCAGGTTGATGAAAATTCTCGGCTCACTAATGTTCTGCTGAATTGCTTTTATCCCCAGACTTCCGTGTCAAACACTACTGATTACTGTGGCAGTGCCAGGACTTCCTGTCTGTACAGGAAATGGGAGAGGGCAGGAAGTGATGCATGTCTACCTGGTCACCATTAGCTGTGATGTATATGCAACAGCCAATTGGAGCCAGTGCAGTCTGAATCCTCAGCCGTCTGCTCTGGGGAACTGTATTTTAATGGGAAAAAAAAAAGTAAAAACAAATATTTAAAAAGAAATTTATTCTGTATTATTATTATTGTTATTATTATTATTATTATAACTACAGATATACTTAGATAATATTCTCTTTATTATAATCCCTATTATTGATTATTATCACCTAAGCAGTATTCATACCCTCACCTTCCTCATCATTGGCGCTGTGTGTTAAACACGTTATAACCTGGTTTATTGTGGACATGTAGCTTTCCTTTCCTTTCTCACATCTTCCTCACGAAACCTGACCTTTTCCCCTTTTAGTACCTCTAAACCTTACTTGGCTGCTGCCCGTTTCACCTCATCTTTTTCTGTCACCTCTCTGCCCTGTATCCTGATAACTCTACTACTTTTATGCTCTTTATTGTAGGCCCCTCCCACAACAGTGACCCAAACATGGATTCTGACAAAAATGTTTTTTTTGTAAAAAAAACAACTTTTTTTCTATTCTAAAAGAGGTGATTTTTTTTCCTTTTGTTTTGACGTCTAGAACCACACTGTGAAGCTGACCTAAACATGGTTTTCAGTAAAAGCCATGAAATTCTTTGCTATGACAATAATTATGAAGAAGATTTATAATACACTACAGAATAAAATAAATACAAAAATATACATTTTTGTGTAGAGAGTGGCTTGCATTTTAACAACTGCAGTTGAAAGGTTCCCTGCATGAGAGTAAGTCAAAAAGTCCACTTGAAAATAACCTCTTTTAATAAAAATGCCATCTGTTAATTGCATATCCTCCATTTAAGTCTTAACACTTCTCCAGGCACCAGGTCACAACCTGCTACTCTGCCACATATAAAGACTGAAATCCACCTTCTTCAGAGAATGTTCTTTCAATTTTGGGAAAGAAAGCGCTGATTGAGCTTGATCAAAATGTTTAGTAAACGTATTACAGGGTTAGATTTACGTTTCGGTTGTTGTTAGCTCTGATTTAAAAATTTTGGATTATTAAAAAGTCTTATAAATTGTAACAAATCCCAAGACTTGGCAAAGATATACTGCTAATGATAAAATCTGTCAAAGCTGACGGTGACACTTGAGTGACTTAGTACGTTTGAGTTATTATCTGAATTTATTAAGTCTTATCCTAGAATTTGTTTTTTTACTTACCTCTGTATAACAGGTGGACAGACAGCTGGACACCAATGCAGGACAGATGGACCAGAGATAATTAGTCCATCTTTCCATACTATTAATTCGTACATTTTTATTTGATTTTCTTTTTACATTTCCATACAGCATATTTGGTAGCACTGAGCACTCGAAGGAACTCCTGCTCTTAGGCTGAATTGTACTGTGATTGGTCAGAGACTTGCTTTGACACTATAGGCCACAGAAAAGTGGGTAAAGTCACTTTAAAAACATTGTTGAAGGCTATATCAACAACTATCTCGACCTACACAGAAAAAGAATCCTGCCTACCGTACTTCGACACGGCTGGCTCCGATCGGTTTCATGTGGTCATTCATGTCTGTTCAACATGTTTAAACCAAATTTGCAGCTCCTTATTGTTGCTACACTGTCTTCTCTCTTATTACAATGGACCTCAAACTCAAGCCAAGACACAAAGATCAACTAGAATTCACTGTCACGCTAAGAGTTAAACAAAGAGATTGACCCTTGTGTCTTTTTGTTAGCCATGAAGCTACAACAAAATCATTGAAAATACTGTCGATTTTTTGCTGTATGGACGCCATCCTGTCCAACCACAGCAAAGTCGACCTTTCTCCACTTCCATCCAGAGGCTCTAAAGAAAGTGGCTTCAGCTTTGAGGACGGTTCAGTATTTTTACAGCACAGCTGAGAAGTTTTGTTTTCAGCAAATGTAATTCCACATTTGGTGCTATGTTGAATATTTCCGGCAACTCTTCAGTGTGTGTGCGTGTGTGTGTGTGTGTGTGACCCTGTGGCCAAGTAAGAATAAAATGTATCTAACTAATAGAGAAGCTGGTTAAATGCATAGTAGGTTTTTATCTGTGATTTGGTTTTGATAGGAAAAGCAAAGGATAGGACAAATTTTCCTTTTGTCATTAACAGTACTTCTTAATACTGAGACTAAAAATTTGTGTTGGCTTTTGTTTTCTTGTTTAAGGTAATCTGAGGCCTACAACTATTTCCAATTTGTACCCAAGAAATGTGAGGGACTGATGGTAGATGACTTGAAATAAACTACTATTTCACAGTTTTCTCTATTCAGTCAAACTGTGACATGATATCACTTGAAAGCAAGGCGTGGCGTTCAGGTGCTCTTACCATTATAACTAGTATATTCACCATGGCTGTGCCACGGTGCTTTGTAAAGTTAAAATATTCTATAAAAGCTACAAGTCAAACTTCCTCTCTGATAAACTGCTGTGGAATTATCATGTGACCGTTAGAATCTTGAGAGCTTATTTTACATTTAGCACTAACAAAATAGTTCCAGTGTGAGCAATGCCAAACAGAGCCACAAGGTCAAAGATCTAATGCTGCATTCAGGTCAGACTCCGAATTCTGCTGAACGGTTGTCTCATAAATGTACTTTAAACAGAAGTTGTTGTTTTTTCCCTCGGTGGGCTGCATACCTTAGTAGTCTGTTTCAATCTTTGTCCTCTGTCCCCCTTGGCCGATGCAACCTTTGTCCCTCCTTCCTCCTACTCATCCTCATCCTTTTACTTTCTACACACTTGTGCATGCCCCTAGTGTGGGTGGGTATCTTTCTCTTTGGGCAGTGTTGATTCTCTGTGTGAGACCAGGAGTGAACATCAGATCTTCTAATATGTGGATGTGTTTTGAGGTTTGTTCTTGATAACCATTGGTGCGTAAATGTCGTTTTCAGAGCCTGTACAGTAATTTGATACTAACCCTGTCTATCGTATTTCATGAAAAAAAGCCACCCCTAAAAATAAGGACACATTGATGTCCAAAAATTCAACACATAAGCCTCGCCAAATATTAGCCACAGTCCCAGTTCGCCAAGTGCCAAACCCAGGACCTTCCTCATGTAAGGCAGTGCGTGATAAATGCTACACTGTGGAACCACCATATGTACTGGATTGAATAATTAAACATTTGCACAAAGTTAAGGTTTCTGCTTATTTTCAAACCACATATGTCGTGTGAAATAAGGAAGTTATGTAGCACTTTGTAAAGGAGGCCCTTTTCATGGCATCATGTTCAGACTGATTGATCATGTACATACTAATCACCTCAATTCAAAACCAGTTATAAATAAACAAATACATTTAAATCTCATGCTTAACTTGAACAAAGGTGGGCGAAAAGAGTCCACACAGAAAGAGAGTTCACACCATATCCAACAGGTTTTGTTTTCTATACAAACTATACAGGTTCTGGGGTACTCTGTTTCTACCCTGTAAAACAGGGGTGTCCACCCTTTGTTGGCTTGGGAGCTACTTTTCAAATGACCAGACCAAAGTGATCTACCTACATTAATACTGTTTAATATATATTTAGCCATATGAGCTGAATATACTTTATATAACACATTATATTTTGATTAAATAGCTGTAGCCGTTAGGCACAATATGATTCAATACTTGTATTGTTGCTGATTTAGTCCTAGAGATTTAATATTAAAAAAAAAAAAAATTATTTTAATTCCTCATGATCTACCAGTACTCCCTTTGATCTACTTATTGGACACCCCTGCTGTATAATATACAAATAATACATATACATGCATACAGTTTTTAAGTACAAACCAAATTCTAAGGCTTAGTATAAGTGTCCTACTCATATATAAGCCTAAGAGGTGAAAGTCTTCCAAATGTCGAGCTGTTTAGAGCTTAAAATATATACTTTATTGTACTGTTTATGTTGGATTTTTCACACTGCAGTAATGTAATGTGATGGCTTGGTTTATATTCATTTTTTGGACAGTCCATTTTAATCCCTGAGCATTGCAATATTTAAAATCGAAATGTAAGCATGGCTTAATTTACATGAAATACGGTATCATCACTCTGCCAGACGTGTCAGATCCTTTATGGTTACGCACTACGGTAATCAGCAACATTAACAATAGCAATTGGGAAAACAGGGTGAAAAAGTTTAGTAAATATCTTTGTCGAACCACAACTAAATTTCATATAAAGTAGCCAGTAATTTAGCTTCTTTGTTTTGTATTGCTTTCGGCAGCTTTGTTAATTCTGATAATTCCAGAATGACGTGAATCCAGCATCAGAGCTTTGCCTGGCGCCTGCCCAAGGAGGACCAATCAAACCCAGATAGATCCATTTGAAAAAGAAGATGCAGGTTATCGTTAAACTGCCTTTGTACTGAGTGATTAGTTACATGGGACTGAACTCAGTGTCACACTGCACATACTATAAACTATGACCAGCACTTGCAATGAAGCAATGACACAGCATTCTACTACTACTGTATAAATATGATGAAGAGGATGTTTTTTCTGTAACATTATTGAAACTGAAGGTAAATTAATAAAAAATAATCCTGACTATTCTGTACCAAAGCTTGGACAGTTGTTCATTTTATTAAGTTTTTTATTTTTTTATTTTTACATACATGTGACTGAAGTCTTGTGGTGGGGTGTAAAACATGGATTTTACTCGCAGTAATCTGTAACATGATCACTGGCAGTGACCATAAGCCATGTGTTGGAAAACAACACAACTTTTATTAAATGAAAAGAATTGTTTATTAAAAAGATATGAACATTTTCAGCCATTCTCTTATATAATGTCTGTGTCAGTGTCACAAAATTTAAAACAATTTAACCCATCCATAAAACGACTTACACCGTTTACTATATACGCCCTACACGGGTGGCCATCAGTACCTCAACATATATCAATTATATACTGGGGTACTAATTAAATGGCTGTAGTTGTATGGAACAGTATGTACTCAATAATTCGGTTGGCCTAACCTTAACTGTAGGCATAAACATCTTTAAAAAAATAGAATTACATATTTAATTTACATATGTATGTTGTATTTAATTGCTCTAGTAAATATTTTTGTATTTAATTGCTCATGATCTACTAGAACTCCCTGTTGATCTATGAGCAGATCGCTATCTACTCCTGACTTAATGTCTATGGAACTTAAAAGGAGAAACAACGTTTTCTGTCTAAAATCTGTCATATACTAAACTAAATCTCATGGCTCAGTTCGTAATACACTCTTCCATGTGTCTTATGCAGTACCTCTCATTTTACTAACATTCTTTATTTAGTGTAAATAAGTTTTTGCGGTTGGCCCAGGGACCTGTATAGCTATTGTATGGCTATTTTCGCCACTGATAAAAACACTAAAAGAACCATGGTTTATATTTGAAACTGGAATTAAGGTTTGTTGACGTTGACTCAAAACACACACACGGGTTTTTTTAATTTAAGGATATTAATTAATTGCAAGACGTCACAAATTCATGTTTCCCGGTCGGCGTCTCCAGAACTACTTCATGTGCATTAATAATCCACTTCTACGACATTTTCGCGGTGCATTCCGCCCATGTAGCGGCACTTGCGATTGGTTTAGATTAATGCCGAGTCCAATCAGCGTCCCTCTTTTATCTTTCTGTGGTATGTCGTCTCCGCCCCCTTGTCTGAAACTGGAATTGACAGTCCGAGAGGAGAAAGAGGAGGTGGAGTAGGAGGCGCAGGGAGAGGTCCGTTTCTCTCCAATAAACCACTGAGTAAGAGACTGTCAGAGTGAAACCAAGAAGCAACAACCAAACCAAAGCCCTAGTAACGAGCGCGTGGATTAAAGTCAACATTGTTTTCTAGTTCTCTGTTGGATCTATCGGCCTTTGAAACGTTGAAGTCGCGGGATCATGGTGAGTGTTGTAGCGTTTTTCTTTGAGATCTGAGTGGCTTTGTTATCAACAGGTGCTGCAGGAAGAGCCAGTTAGCAACTTAGCCGCTAATGTTAGCCCCATAACCACAAATGTCGCCAAACTCATTTATAAGCGGTAAGTTAAACTCGAGATAAGTCTCCTGGGTTCAGATGATTGGTGGTAATTTTAAACGAAATTTAGCTACCGTATGTTATCGACAATTTGAAGTAAGTAGCCACTTGTGGGTCACTTTGGTTCACCACAACAGACATTTTCAACAGTTGACACGGTTTACTGGCGCTTCTGTAACCGGTCAGAAAGCTGTCATGGATCAATGAAGGGCTACCGTTGGTGTTTACTTTTCTTTTAATTGATGAACATATTTTAGTTTTACGGGAACTATGTGTCTTTTAATATAAAGACTTTATTGCGAAGCTTCCTGAGTCTTTGTCATAGCTTCTGTTTCTGCGTCCTCGTATTTAAGCTACTTACTGACATATCTGTCAATATAACCACTTTATTTCTGTCAGAAACACAGATATGGTAACCCCAAAAAAGTACGTCAAGTTTCTGAAAAAGCCATACAGTCATTCCCAGGGTTAAAACATGTTGAAGGTTAAAATAACGAATGTTCTTGAATTCAAGTTAAAAAGTGAATCAGGAAACCGTGTAAAAGTAATACACTGTACAGTCCAAACGAGCCCCAAAAAGGAATATGTTTTTGTTTATACGTAGCTAGACATACGCAATATCTCCGCTGAAGTGTCTACAGAGATGGTACAATTTATCTGGATCGTTATCCATACCCCAATCGTTGGAAATAGTTGCCTGTAAAATAAGTCGTGTACAGGCACTGGCGTATCTTCAAAAGAGGAGATGGATTAGCCACCTTTAGTTTAAATTTTTAAATTAGTCATTTAGTCATCTGTTGTTTTACTTGTTCCTGTAACACCCTTTTTACAGAATCAGTGGATTAGATTTATTTAACACAAGTTATGTCATGAAAATAAAAAATAATTGCATCAGACTTATTATATGATTAAATAATTAATTTTGGTTAACAACTGGCTGAGAATTAGACATAAATGTTTTTTTTAATCTAAATGTATACTTATATCTCCTCTCCCAGGGTTTGCTGTGAGTTGATTTTCCCCTCCCACCCCTTCAAATCTTTCTCCTTTGTTTTTTGTTTTTGTTTTTTCCATTGGGTTAAATTGCAGCGCTGCATTCTTTCAACTTTATTGCTGCTGTCTTTTTGGTCTATTTATTTTGGAAATATAAAAAATATATTCAACAAGAAATATCTCAGCCAGTTGCAATAAATGGTCGATAAAACAAAAAATATAGACAGATGGCTGCATCCCTCCGAATGTGCTCAGCACTACTACATGCAATGGTTTATTGCATATAGATTAAAACTAGTTGTTTATAAGTTTATTGACTTCCTCTACTCTAGAATAAGATGTTAAGATAGTGTAGCAGTTAGCACGCCTGCTTCGGACGCTGAGTGTTCTGGGTTCAATTCCCAGAAGAACCACATGTTTGATTGTTAACCCTCCTTTTATAAGTCGCTTTGGATAAAAGCACCTGCTAAATGGATTAATGTAAATGTAATCTTTTATAAGTCGCTTTGGATAAAAGCACTTGCTAAATGGATTAATGTAAATGTAATTAATGTCGGGCTGATACTGAGCATTGTATTGAGCCATCCCTAGTTAATTTGTCAACATTTTGTTTACACATTCATGAAAGTAATTCTTTTAATTTTACATCAAGCCTGTGCCAGATGATGAGGTATAGAGTTTATTAATCCAGTAATGGTATCAGATCAGTATCAGTTAGAGGCGGATATGCAAAGTTAGTTATGCAAAGGTATTGGAATCAGGACTGAAAGTCCGAACAGGGTCAGCAGAAGTCTTTGCTGTGAGTTAAGTTCTTTTCCAATGTTGAGCTGTGCTTGTGTCTTGTCAGCCTGGATTTGATAATGATTAGTTGGGTGCAGCTGAGTACAAACATTACACAGATTTTCAAAGGCGGACTTAGAAAAAGCCAACCATGAAAAGTGGTTTCTCCATTTTGTTACAGACTAGTGTTAGATTATGTATTTCCAGAGTAGTAGGATCCAGTTGTAAAATTGTTAAGGATTTGTGTCCTTTCTTCTTTGCTGCTTTACTGACCTGCTGTTAGAAAGTAACATGACATCATTTTCTGGTCCAAAGAAGACATGACCACAAGTGAGCTTTCTAACCAATGCTTAGTAACTGCAGTGGCTTCAAGTGATGTATAGGCTGGTAGAGGTCTGATGTCAGCTGCTGTTGTTTCTCAGATAAGAGGGGAGGAGGGGTTGCCCTTTCAACAGTACCAATACAAACTCCAGAATTCGCTGCAGGTACATGTGAAACAGGATATCCTCATGTCTTCAGGCAGTTCAAATCCTGAAACCAAACTGAAGTAGCACTTGTGTCAACTACAGTTTGTCCACCTGTGGAGTCGGGGACTTCACTCAATGAAGTAAAGGTCAAGGCAAGTCTTCTTGTAACAAGTGATAATGATTAGTGTGTAACAGAGTAGGAAATTACTTTTTGTTGATCAAGGTACTGGCAGTGATCTATAAATGAAATGTTGTATTTTTAACTGGCAGTGATCTATAAATGAAATGTTTTTTTACCAACTACAATTGGATATAGTGCCACCTGCTCTGTTATAATTAAGCATCAGTATGAACTATTATGCCTCAATGGTTATGACTATGGACATCTATTAAAGCCTATCTTTTCACCTCTGCCTGGCTGCTTTGTCTATGTGTTAGATCAGGAAAAACATTTTCCTTTATACTAATGGTATTCTGTAATTTGTTGCATGTCTAGCAGGTCCTCAAGTTACAATGTCCTTTGACCCATGGTGTTTCGTGGTTACGTCGCCATCTCTCATACATTTATAAAGAAAGCCTTGTTGCATCATCCTGTTATACGTTTGTGAATTTAAAACAAATTTCACGCAGGAACTTGTTGGTGAGCGCAGTGGACAAATATGTCATCAAACGGAAGACGGCTTTGTTTACATTCTCCAGTTGTACACTGGAATGTGCTACATTCACTTTCCTTTTGTTTGTGTTGTTTACCATTGTTGTTACCACTGTGTTAGCGTAGGTGAGTGACATAGATACTGATGTACAGTAAAAATTTAGTTATGTCACGCTGTAGGAACAGAATTCGAACACAAGTCGAGGACCCCTGTATTGTCTTTTACCCCAGCTAACATCAGTCTGTCTGGTCCAGAACTTTCATTGAAAGCTTTCAATGACTTCATTATATATTTTATAACACTAGTAAATTATTTACGACGTTACTTTTCTTACTTCCTCTGACCTGCTGGTACAACGGTTTGTTGGTATGTAGTTATGTAGCACAGGCTGGAAAACTATAAACAACACTGTGATACTTTGAAACCCTAAACCTACATTTCCATGGGTGCTCTAGCTGGTAATATGTGAGATCATAGGCAGGTTGACTTTAACACATGTAAACAAAGGGTGAGTAAGTAACACATTAGGCAAACTCCAGAGAAATACAACAGTCCACTGTTCTCTGGAATGTTCTCTCACTCTTCTCTTTACACCTGATTTCTCATCTGATCCAGATCTAAAGTCCACACTGCTAAATCAGTGCTGGTCTGAAAGAGATACAGAATACTATGTGATAAGCTAGAGAAACGTATCTGTGATAGCTTGAACAGTATTTAGTATTTAGAAACGCCATGGTTTGTTGTGGTGTTGTGATGTCATCATTCATTCAACATATATTTGTCATTTGACCTCTCTTTAAGATTTTATTTTGTTTTTTTCCCTTTGGTCTGGTACAAGGTGGTACAGCCCTGTCTTCCTCTCTCTCTCTCTCTGTCTCTCTCTCCCTCTCTGTCTGTCTGTCTCTTACTCTCATTTACTCTCTCCTTTCAGTGTGTGTGTCTGTGTGTGTGTGTGTGTGTGTGTACACAGTTAGACCCAAGATAAGAGCGGGCTCTGCTTCTGCTCCTGCTCCCAGTGACAGTCACACTCCTCTTGGTTTCAGTTGTTCCTGCTTATCACAGCAGAATTACACAAGGTCATTTTTTGTCATTCTTTGGTCTGTCTTTTTTATTTTATTATATTTCAAAACTTTTGAAATATACGTTAATATTTTGACCTGCATTGATTGACAAGTCAATATTTTGGTGTAAGAAAATTCTTACCTTTTTAGACAAATAATTCCAACACCAGTTCACTGACTCTCATATTAAATCAACTTTTGGTGGCCAGGTCTGTTGGGCCTTCCCTGTGCTTGAAGTACAACTAGTTCCCCAGTTCACCAGTAGTTCCTGTTACTGGATTTGTGTGTTATGTTTCTTTTGCGCTTGCTACACACCTGTGACCTAATTTTAAATTTGATATTCACCTCAATAAAACACATTTTTAAAAGAATGCTGAAGTAAAATACTTGTTGAGAAATATTAACTATATTTTTATCTAGAGGCCGTACTCAGTTTCTAATGATTTACTCGCTTCCACAAAGTTGTGTTGAGCTATTAACTTGTAGAGACAAGCCTGTATGCATAGATTTAATCAATAAAACTAGGGGAAGGCTAAATATACAGAGTTTTGTGTAGGATTTGTGTAGGATTTTTGTTGGATGTGAACTAGGGACAAATTGATACATCTTTTTCATGTCTGATACCGATACAACTTCGGTATCAGACGTCTGTCTACACTGATATCAATCTGATACCTTATTTGCTCCTTCAACATGTCATGGGCTGCTATTTTTGAGGCAATAGTGACCCTGTTTAAATCATGTCGCAGAAGGTTAAATTGAGTATTTGGGCTTAGGTATTGGATCAAACAGGGTTTCTTTGTGTTTGACCCTGATATTTTGTCCCATATTGGACTGATACCAATCCTGACAATTGGCTCAAGACATCCCCTATTGTGGACCATGGTAAAGGCTTCTTTTCGATCTTGGAGTTTGCACGTGTGGATGTGCTGCACTGTGGCTCAAACGTTTATTCTGAAAGCATCGATCCTGTAAATATCAGTGGAATGTGTTTGTCGGACATACATTGTACAGTGCTTTATCAGCCCTGGGATTTGGTAGACATTTGCATCTCTGAAGTGTTTGTACTCCATAACTGCCAGCACTAAAAACCATTGTGAATTGTGAATTGCTTTGGCTCTTCAGTTTCTTTCTGAGCTTCTTATTTTGAGCTTGGCCCTGACTCTAACTAAAACCATTGGACAGCAGTTTGTTGTCCAGTGTCCTACTGGTTTACCACGCTGGCCAGGTTCCATACATAACTTTTTTTGCATGTACACAAATGAAAAACACTCAGTTGTGCATTTGCACAGAAGAAAAGCACTTGATTCAGCATGTGCACAAAAGAGAGTGTGATGCACCTGTCAGGATCTGCGGATTTACCTGCAGTCATGTTTCTCTTGTCGCTCTTCCTCGCAGATGAGGTAGGCAGTGCATGCAGTTGTCCATTACCATTTAAAGATAAAGGAACTGGATGCACATTTGAATGATCTGAAGAAGAAAAAAGAGAACTGCATTTCGAGATGCAGACTGTACTGTGAAATGCAGTAATGTGTATGGAGTTTAGATCTGTTTTTTAGGCTTAACAGCAATGATGATTTTAACATTTCACAAAGATCAGAGCAAATATACTGAGGTAATGAAAAACACAATACATGGCATACAAACACAGACACACACTCATTTCCCTTCCCCCATCACTGGAATTTAGTTTTCTGGGCGACATGGCATTCCTCACTGCTGCATCATGTGACCTCAGATGTGTGTTTGCGCATGTGTATCTCTGTCTGTGTAACCACACTGTTGCTGTTAAGTTATAACAAAGTATCACCTTGGCCCTTTATTGTGTCTGGTGAACTTTGTGCTCTTTTTAAGTGTCACAGACACATCAATGGCCTGTTTCTTGTTTTTATCCTCCATGCTACCTGCTGCTGCTGCTGCTGCTGCTGCTGCTGCTGCTGCTGCTGCTGCTGCTGCTGCTGCTGCTGCTGCTGCTGCTGCTGTGGCTATGGTTGCCCATGCTCCCATAGTACAGCTTATTGCATTGGTGAACTTTTAAATGGCCTGTAAATTGGTGGTGTTGAAGCTGTTAAAATACACTTCATTACATCATTGACTGATAGAAATGAACACAGTATTGTCCAACAAATCTAACTGTTATTGATAGAACATACATCTATGTTGGTGTTGTGAGGATGTTAGATAACATTGATTATTTAAATTGGTTTATTAGCTTCTGTGAGGCTTTGTCAGTGAATAATTGTGTCTTTTTATGTGACAAGTCCAATCTGGAAGACATTCGTTAATTAGGTTGCGTGTGTGTGTGCGTGTGCGTGTGCATGTTTAGATCTGGTAAGAGATTGTTGTCATTCTGACACACACAGATAAGGCGGCCATTCTGTCTCATTCCCTGCCCTCACCACCTGCTCTCACAACATCAAATTTATTTATGTTTGTGAAAGAGGGCAATCGCCTTAAGCTGTTGTCATGGTTTTATGGGGGGAATTACAGGGTTCTAAGGGCATTGTTGTTCAATTACTGAATGAAGAAAACAACAAAAGAAATGCAACCAAACTGATGCTGATGTTAATGTAAAATAATCACTCTACTTAGTTTTGACTTAGTAATAGTTTTGACCGTGTGATTTGACCGTGTGATTTCCTTTTTAAAAGATTTTAAAAGACATTTCCACTTAAATAACACCACAAAACAGTGTTATTAATAAAAGACTATGGAATGTAGAGCCATGTACAGAGGAGGCAATATGCTTGGAGAAGAAAGGTAAAGGCATAATACCCAACGACCACCATCCTAGCACAGAAAGAGAAGGGTGAGAGTGTATCCTGTCTGTGGTGCATCTATGATTCATCCACTGTTTTATCGGTTGAATATTTTAAAAGAAAACAGCTGGTTAGCAACAAACCTGGTGAAGTTCTAGGTGTGGTTTCTTCTACTGTGACATTGAAGGAAAACAAGCTGGTTAGCAACAAACCTGGTGAAGTTGAAGGAAAACATACTTTGAAGCTACTTCTATTATAAAAACCCAACTCGAGTATTGAGAGTATTGATGAGGATTTGACATGAAAGGATGACATGACAAACCTCTGGAAAAAAACTTGAAAAGTTAAAAAGTGCTTTTCTGCAAAAACCAAATAAGAATCCATCTATTAGGATAAATTGGGTGAAAATAATTTTGTTAAAGTGCATGTTGTTAGTGAAATATAATTCATGTACATACAAAAAGTTTGAAAAAGATAATAAAAACATTGTTTCTGAATACAGTCTACACTATGGAACCATTATATGCATAGTCATTTGAATAGTAGCTCCCTAGCCAAAAAAGTGTGGGCAGCTCTGGTTTAAGGTCATTTGCTGAAATGTTGTTTTTCTCCTTCATTCTTTCTTCTCTGACCGACTCCACCATCTGCAGAGAGAAATTTAATTCTTCCCATCAGGTTTCGTCCAGGGTTTATCAGAGCTGCTCTGGCCTCTGTCTGTCAGCTCCAGCCAATCTGGCCGTTCTCCTGCAGCCTCTCCCTCCCTCTGCAGTACTGCTGCCCCCTGAATTGATTTCTGCAAAACATATGGTCTTGCCATGTGTGGAAAATCCCAGAAAGCATTTCTTTAAAAAGACTAGTTTGCTGCATCAGCTTTTTTTTTCTTCTCGTCTCCACAGGTAACAAAACAATGGCTGCCTTGTTTACTGAGCTACCCTCCTAGATCTTCTTGATACAGACAAGGAAATAAAAAAAACTCTCACTGGAGTACACACAAACACACACATTTTTGAGGTTTGGTGTGTGTTTGTGTGTCAGAGTGGGATGACAACCTCCCATCTGAATGGTCATGTTGCTGGTGAAGGAGGAGGAGGAGACGAAGAGCTGAGGGGAGGACAGCAGCAGCACAGGGAAATGGCTGTTGATTGTCCAGGAGAGCTGGGCAGTCGGATGCTACCAGTCCGCCGGTCTGCACAGCTGGAAAGAATACGACAACATCAGGTACACACCCACACACACAGACACACAAAGCAGTTGTGTTTATTTTATACATAAAGTATTTAGATAATTTATCTTTGATGTGGCTTCATTGATTGGAGGATAAATAGATCGATCTGATACATTGTTTGTCTTTATATGCTTTATATTTTAACTCAATCTCGATCTCTCATCGTCACATGTCCAAACCATGAAGAGCTTTATCCATTTTAACTCAATCTCAAAACTCTCCAATCCAAGCTATTCCTCAGACCTGTTTTTTATTTATTTATTTATTTGCCGGTTTATCATCTCTAATTGGGTGGATGCTAATACAGCTTTAACTTTCAACTTAACCTAAGTCGTTCTTTTGAAAACGCATAAATTCTATCACTCACTGTCCTCCTACATGTCCTGCACCATCCTCACATACTTCACTGCCACTCCTGTCTTTACCATAGTAACAAAGTTCCCGCCTTGTTACTCTATAATGTGATCTTTTTTTTATCTACAAAGAAAGACCGGAACTCGTGATCTTCTCTGTTCTTCTCTACCCACATTCTCAGAACTAAAATAACTCTAGTAGCCTTTCTGGGCATGAAATCAGGTAGATGCTCACTAATCTGAACCTTTTGCACAAACCTGTTTCTGCAGCTCCTTTCTATCCACTTGTTGGTTGTAAAAGTTATTCCTCTGTGCCTATAAAACTGAAAATGTATTTATTTAGTAAAACGAATTTCAGTTAATCGTGTATTGTTTCTCTGTGTTTGTGTTAGGAGGACTTGCGACGTAGAAGGGAGGAAGAAGGTCGGCAGCTGGACCTGAATGCTTCACTCAGACTCAGGAAACTCTCCCAAAATCCCCACATTGGCATTGACAACCCGACATTCCTGGAAGATGCATACACAGCACAGCAGTCATCGCTCAGTAGCCAGCACACACTCTTGGGTAAAAGAAAGTCATACTCAGACACAAAAAACACAAAACTCGCATTACTTTCTTTGCAGTAAGAAGATAAATATTTGAAAAACAAAGAGTGGAAATAAAGGGACAAAAAGGAATGGATAAAATTATGAATGGATAAGGAAACTTGAAGAGAAAGGAATGTAAAGAAGACAAAATTCCTCAGGGAGGGAGAGGACGACAAGAGAAACTCTGAAGAGCAACTTAATTAAAACTTTGCCAGGGGTGGTGATGTTTACACACTCACACAATCACAAACACTGGAACACACACACACACACACACACACACACACACACACACGGTAGAGTGTAAGTCCTGACAGAGGAAATGAGAAGATCACTTATATAAAGTTCCATCTTCAGTCAGGAAAGACAGACGTTTCCTTATGACTGTTTTATGACTTGTGCTTCTTTTTCAACCCGTTCTCTCAGTTGCACCGATTGTTTGTTTCCCACAGAGTTGGAGGAGTTGCTGCTCTTGTTGAAGCAGGTTCGAGGCTGCTTGTCTGACCAGCAGAGTCAGAATGACATAGAGCTGGTACTTGCACTACTTCACAAGGTAACATTGAGTCTATTAAATGAAAACAGCCTCAGGTGAATGTACTATAGTCATATTTTCCAAAACATTCTAATCTCTGAGTTATAATTTTGATAGATGGTTTGTTTTGGTCTCTGCTCTGTGGAAATGAAATGTCTACAGCTGTAAGGGCTCCCAAACATTCCTCTAGCTGAAGTGAGACTTCATTCTGAAGTGGGGCTTTACTCTGATATTAAGAGGTTGGAGACTGTACCGCACTTCTTGGTTTCATTTTCTCCTTGCAGACGACTTATTTATGACAGATTTATGTGAAATAAAATGTGAAGTTGTTCGACATAGTTTGAAAGCAAATGTCGGTGGATTGTTGGCACATGCACAGAATTTTTGAGTGTTACCTCAGGTTTGTGTGGAATTTCAAATTAATCCTGCTCCTTGTGTCTTTATCCCTTCTAGTCTGATTTCCAGTCAGCACTGAAAATTCATAATGCTGTGGTCAGCAGCATGCACCGACCCTCTCCTCCGTACCCACACACTCACCAGGCACTTCCGCTGGCCATGGAGGTAAACCATGTGACCACTTCTTTATGACACTGCTTCATAACATTTTTGTATAAGCAGTTTCTAATTCCTGCCCTCTCTCTAACATAATTCCAATCCCAACCTCAAGGTCTATAAGTATGAAACTTCCATATACCCTCTCACAGTGATCAAAAAACTTCTCCAAACATATGCTAGGGGTGGCATGACTGTCGACAAGTCAAGTCAACACTAATGTTGTTGATGTCGTCTAGTCACTGATGATGTCTGTGTGTGTGTGTGTGTATATATATATTTATATATTATATATATTTGCTGTGTTGTGTAAATTCAGTGTATAAACTGTAGATCCTACAAAGATCAACTGAAGAGTTGTCATGGCTGCAGTTGTCCTGCTACTGTTGTCTTGTTGTCAGAACTATTAATGGCTCCTTTCAATGGAATCTCATTAATGACCAACACAATATTTCTGCTGTGTTGCATCCCCCCCGCCCACCACCATATTTGGCTGCTAACAAGTTAACAAGTCTACACTGTTCTCTCTGAAAAATGTTTCTTTGTCATTGTCGGTGAAGTGGAAAAAACAGTCCAAAACAACACAAAGGAGAAAAAAAATTATGTCATAATTCAAGATAAAACTTGTGATTATTTATTCATTTAGTTTTATGTATTTATATTCATTTTATATAAAAAAAATCTACATGTTAATATTTTTTAAAACACCCCCTCCACTATAATGTAGGATAAGTTGGCCAATCATATAACTACATTTATTACAATATTGAATGACTTTATTTCTGCATTTTCAGTATTTAAAAATGAAGAAACTGTTTTATTTTTAACCTAAAGACGACTGAGTCTGAGAACCAGGCTAATAATAAGAGACGTGTGTGAACATGTGGACTTTTTAACATGTCCCTGTTCTTTGTCCTTGTTGTGTCTTTAATTGTTATTATTACTTTGACCTCATCATAAGTGTGTACGTTTCAGGTCAGGAATCTCATCCAGTCAAGTCAGAACAAAGAGGGACTCGAACTACACTCCCTGCTGTCCGACATCAACCTTCAGGATGTTAATACTTTATTTGACTGTTTCTGTCTGTTTCTCTATGGCAGTAACAGAAGCAAAAGTACACGTGAATGTGTGTTTGGGTGTTTGTGTGTGTTACAGTCGCTGTTGTTGACTCATGACAACATAGCAGAGAAGGAAATGCAGCCTGAAACACTGCCTGCACAAGGAGAAACACTCACCCAGTGGGGAGGAGAGACTGTCAAGATTGTTCGCATAGAAAAGGCCAGAGATGTTCCACTGGTGAGACACTTACTGCACACTCCCAGTAGAAGCTCTTATCAAACTGTTGGAAGTCAGGAGAGGGTGGTCACAGTCAAAGAAAGGAAACGTTTCAACACTTTTTCAATGTGTTTAACTACACACAGGGAGCGACTGTGCGTAATGAAATGGACAGTGTCGTCATAAGTCGTATTGTTCGAGGCGGAGCAGCAGAACAGAGTGGTCTGTTATCAGAAGGGGATGAAATCTTAGAGATCAACGGCATCGAAATCAGAGGAAAAGATGTCAATCAGGTCTTTGATATTCTGGTAAGTATATTCACCCTGACTTGTCCGTATTTGTAACAGTCTGTTAATCATGCAAAAAAAAAAAAATAGAAAAAAGTAAAAATGTGGTTTGTCTGATTTGAGAATGGCTAATACATTTCAGTTGGCTTTCATTTAGCTACAGTGGAGAAGTTTGCAGTCATTTTTATTTATACTCAAACATAATGTCAGTTCATGTGCAGAGGTCACAGTGATGTCATAACTTGAGCTCTCACTGGCTGCAATTACAGGACACCATTACTGCCCTCTGCTGTATTGATCAGGAACAACATTCTACCTGTGTACACTGGTTGACAATTTGAGGCCACATCAAGTTAAAATAAAAAAAAGTAGAATATCATGTGACCATCACAATGATAAATGACTCTCTCTCTCTCTCTCTTTGTCTGTGTCAGGCCGACATGCACGGCCTACTAACCTTTGTGCTGATTCCAAGCAATCAGAGCAGACCTCTTGTCAAAGAGACTGTGGTGAGTGTCGAGTTTTCTACTTTTTAACCAACAATAGCGTCCACTGTGAAAGGGTTTTCTTTTTTATTTAAACTGACTAATGAATGTTTGGCAACTGGTGATTTTTTTTTTTCAAGTATTTGGAAGGGAGACCGCCAACTCCTTATATAGTGGTTGCAGCTGTGAGAAACTTTTAATATATTTGGTTTTGCAGATCCATGTGAAGGCCCACTTTGACTATGACCCCTCCGACGACCCTTACGTACCATGTAGAGAGCTCGGCCTGTCCTTCCAAAAAGGAGACATCCTGCACATAATCAGTCAGTCGGACCCTAACTGGTGGCAGGCTTACAGAGACGGAGATGAGGATAACCAGCCACTGGCTGGACTGGTGCCAGGTGAGACGGTCTCTGTGGTTGGAACCTTTGTAATAACTCGATGTTTGTTTGTGGTGGATCAGAAAAGGGGATGTCTCCTTAGAATACTGGGACATTAGGTGAGACACAACAATATATAAACCTTTGGTCTTTGACTTCTCTGCAGGCAAGAACTTTCAGCAGCAAAGAGAAGCCATGAAACAGACCATAGAAGAAGACAAGGAGCCTGAGAAGCCTGGTCAGTTTGTCCATCCTCCACACGCCTCACTCGCTGAGTTACTCTTTATTTAAGGTTTCTAGCTTTTTAAACAAGGGCATACTTTGTTAAACGTCTCCATTAAATCTTAGGACAAGAACATTATTGGAGTTTATTGCTTACTTTGTTTTGTTAAAATAGCTCTTTCTTGTGGTTTTTACTGCTCTGTTTATCCTCCGTGTACTAAGAAACATCCAGAGGCAGAGTACAGAGGCTGACCTTAATGGAGAAATAAGAGGAAACAGATGCACACAGTTGAAAGATTTATATGGTGGTTCACAGCTTCACACATTTTCTGGATGTTTTTCAACGCAAAATACTTTGAGAATGCTGCAGAAATTCTTGATAATTTGTAAACCACTCACGTCACAGTGAAACAGTGAAAAAGATCTATGGATTCACATCAGTAGAGTGAGGCTGACAGTAATGTCAGAAATCACTGAGGATGACGATGTAAACCAGGGGTCACCAACTACAGCTGTCAGAGACACCTCAGGGGCTGGACACGCAAATAACATGAATTAAAATGAACATTTCTGTCTTTAAAAGAATCTACATAGAATCAGAAATAGTAACGATTACTGATAGATATTTAAGTCTCAGTTGTTTTATTTTCAGTTGCTCTAACATTGTGGACCACACTACATTTTGCAGTGCAGTTGCGTGCGGCATTGAATGAATTAGCGGGCTGGACTTGGCCCGCAGGCCACCAGTTGGTAATCACTCTGATGTAGAACTCTTTTGTTCACAGGAAAGCTGTGGTGTGCAAAGAAAAATAAGCGGAAAAGAAAAAAGCTGTTGTACAACACTCACAAGAACGACGGTAGGTCAAGTCCTGCTGTAGTCTGAGGAACCACACAGCTTTGCTTTTTTTTTACACATCATGAGTTCTGATTCCTGCACTGGTACAGATTTCGATGAGGAAATTCTCACCTATGAGGAGATGGCTCTCTACCACCAGCCGGCCAATAGAAAGAGGCCGATTGCACTCATTGGTCCCAGTGGCTGTGGACAGGGTGAACTAAGGCAAAGACTTCTCAACAACCAACCAGAACGCTTCGCTGTGGCTGTACCTCGTAAGACACATAAACACACACACACAATCACACACAATCACAATCCCCTGACTGAAATATTCCAAATGTCTGTGTGTTGTAGACACCACACGAAGTCGTCGTGAAGGTGAGACGAGTGGTCGTGACTACCACTTTGTGTCCCGGCAGACTTTTGAAGCTGAATTATCAGCAGGTAAAATGTACAATATTTCACACACACACACACACACACACACATATATAGCGTTCACAGTTGTCAAAGTTGTTTGATGAAAGTCTTGTTTTATGTGGAGCTTCACTGCTTCCTTAGCTGTGTGCGCCCTCTGCTGGAACCTTGCCTCAACTAGTGGCAGTCAGTTCCACTTCCAGTAGAAACATGGGACACAAAAGAAAATATGCACCTTTTTAATCTTCCTGACATTGTTTTATGTTCTTTTATGAAACATTGAGGCTATTTTAACATTGTAGCCACATGTGTACATTTTTATCAGTATGTTTTGTTTCCCTGGAACATAGATTTAACCAAACTGTGGTTTCACTGATAAAGTCATGTACAATGAAGCAGATTCACACTGACTTACAGCAACTAGGAGAACAATCTATACAATAAGGTTCAAGAACTGTTAACTATAAACAACATATTATAAACCTCAGACTTCCAGAGAATTATGATGTTTAAGATGTTTAAAGATAGACCTCACATATAATGATGCCTTAATGGTGTCTACGGTGTGGTAGCCTGTGTGGGCTCCAAAGACTCGCACTGAATGTTCCACATTGTGGGACAAATAAGTGAGTGATATCTGAGACGTCCAGAACAAATGCATAACTTTCCACTAGGTGGCAGCAGATTACTATAACTAAAAGGACGTCAGTGTTGTGTTCGGTTGAGGTCCGGTGTTCAATTGAAAAGGTCTGGGTTTCACACTGTAGGTAAAGTCTAAGTAAATATGAATATTACATACGTTAAAAACTTTTTTTATTTTTAGTGCATATTTTTGGTGGGATTTTTGGAATGTAAAATAAGTGCCATAGCAAAAAAATGGGTTACTGGTAAGGTACTGACATCAGTTAACATTGTTTAATTTTCAACTATTCTTTTTAAGAACTGTATATAAAAATATTCCTACCTAAATCTTCTTCTCCAAGTTCTGTGAAATATTTGAAGTCACACATTAATAACCAGATTGTTCTGCCATCACCCAGGAAAGCTGATTGAATCTGGGGACTTTGAGAAGAACCTGTATGGGACCAGCACAGACTCAGTGAGGCAGGTCATCAACACTGGAAAAATCTGCGTGCTCTGTCTGCACACACAGGTGGGTGTCTGTTCATGTAGGATAGATACTCCTTCAGAGTACACCTGCATGTACTGTTGGTACTGCACTGTACAAACATATAAAGCTATAATACTTATTTGATGGTTATTTTGGAATCCAGTGGCCGTCTGTTGATCACTGCATCATGGAATAATTAGTACTAATTTAGCCTGTTTGAAGATATGTCAAGTCAACACATTCAAATCCCTTAATCGTACTTTTAATTTATGTATTCATTGCCATTGTACATGTGTTATAATTATTTTCACAGGCCCTAAAGGTGCTGAGGAGTTCAGACCTGAAGCCTTACATCATCTTTGTAGCTCCGCCCTCCCAGGAAAGACTGCGAGCCCTGTTGGCTAAAGAGAACAAGAACCCAAAGGTTTGTCACTGTTGACAGTTCTGTTTACACACACATTGACAGATAAAGAGTACCGGTGTTTACGTTGTCTAAATGTGTGTGTGTGTGTGTTTAGCCCGAGGAGCTACGGGACATCATAGAAAAAGCACGGGAGATGGAGCAGAGCTGCGGTCACCTGTTTGACGCCGTCATCGTCAACATTGACCAGGACAAAGCTTACAATGAGCTGCTACGATTTATCAACAAACTGGACACTGAACCTCAGTGGGTGCCCTGCTCCTGGCTGCGCTGAAAACACACACACACACACACACACACACACACACAGCCCGTGGAGCCTGCTTCTCTGTAAAATCAACTGGACCCTGATTCACTTTTACACGCTCTGCTAATTAGTCAGAATGTTAGGGTTGATGTTAGCTGAAGGTGACTATTTTTGAGAATAAAGTTGAATATTGGAATATTTAAATTTAATTTTTAATATTATGCTGCAGTATTAATGTACTATGAGATCAAGTGTCACAATCAAAAACACAGTAATATCACCTACTTTAACTATTGTAGGTTAAAGTTTCAATGTCACTGAAATAAATACATGTAAAACATAGTAATTTATTTAGTTAGAAAAACAACGAGCATTTAATGTGAAAACAACCCCATTATAGGATGTACTGTAGCTTTAAAACATTAAAATCACAGACATGTTTCTCTTACAGGCTGAAGGTTTTTTTATTCTGTCTTTAACACGGGGCATGAATTTGTCCACGAACCAGAACATTTAGTTTTACTTTAGTCAGGATTTAAGAATTGAACCTCTTGGAAAACATGTTGTTTGTTTCTTTTATTGATCAGAAAGTTGTGAGTTTTACATCAACAGTCTAATCTGAAGAGGTTACAGTCCAGGCACTAATATATCACAGTTAGCCTTCAGTCAATGTTAATAAATATGCGACAGAAAAATACAGTTCCAAAAGCAGGAACTTTCTCCTCAGACCAACTGCAGAATTGTGTCACATTTCACAGAAGTAAAGCCACAGCTGAAAACCCAGGTGTGGCTGCTAGTCTGTCACTACCTGCAGAAAACAAAGTGTTCATTTCCTGATCATGATGGGAAGATTTTCTTCAGAACATTTTCTGACATGTGATTTTGATTATAATAGTGCGTTTTTATTTGAATTTGGTTTATGTTCCTGAAAGTGAAAGAACACATTGATTACAGTGTTTTTAACCCTAATTTTAAAAGGAATAATAATTTGTTTAAAAAATATTTTTATTAGTGTTTTTTTAATCAATTACTAGACATTTCAGGCGACCCCACGTGGGGTTGTGACCCCAAGGTTGAAAAACATTGACATAAACAATGCTTTTTTTAAAAAGTCCTTTTCAAGAGCTAACCGCTAACTAAATCACACTTGATGATGTATAGACCTTCATGTTGTTCATAGGGCGATGCCTAAACCTGACACTTCTCTTGTCCATCACTGCTGTCTGTACTGTGTGCCCAGTAACTGACTGCTGAGTTTTCTGAATTAAGACTCCAGACTCCAAGCAGCAGCTGTTTCCTCACACAGTGGCTTTATTTCTGTGAAATACAATAATAATAGTAGATGCATGTTTGCAGATATGGGTTTTTTTCTTTCTTTTTTTTTTACAACTGTTGACCTAATTTTTATCAAACACAATGAGGAATTTTCCAACTTTATAAATTATCTATAAATACATAGTTTATACAGCTATATTACACTGAAGAGCTGTTGTAACCAGCTTTTTAAAAATGATCTTAAGTGACAACATGGCAATGCTATAATAGGTAAATACTCTATAGTACGTTGTCATTCTCTCTTAAAGCTACATCACTGTTGCAGAGAGAAAATTGTAGTGAAAACTAAAGCTACATCACTGTTGCAGAGAGAACATTGTAGTGAAAAAACTCATAGTTGCTTAAATTAAACCAAGGCAGATTAACATTTCTATCAACATTACGGTTTATAAAAATAATTAAAAGAAAATAGCCAAAAGGTTGTCTTTAAAGGAGCTTTAATCAACTAATTGCAAATTTACTCTTGTATTTTTTCACAGTTGTCTCACTCGCTGGCTGTAAATTTCACTTTGTCCACACTTAATTGTTTCTTTTTGTTACTTTTTACATGCCTATACTTTTGTATACTTTTTTTTGCTTTACGATAATTTGTAAATCAAACTGATTTTTACCCTCTCCCCAAACACTGCCCCCTGGTATGTTTTGAAAAGTGAAGTTTGGACACTGCACAGTCAATGTCTTGTAGAATGTATTAACGTTGCAGCACTGATAATTCTGAACTAGTAGAAATGAACTCGTGTATGGACTGTCCTGAAAGGGAGAAAAATGTAAAGTAGTCTTGGACGGTTCCTAACTGACGCTTCTGTGTCGTCGCTTTTGTCACTGTTGTGGTGATGTACGTAGACCGTCCTGGTTTATTAGCGCACTTCCTGATTTACCAAGGATCTATGTTTCTTCTCTTTGTTTCCTTTAAAGATGTGTTCTTTTACCTCACCTCTTTTTATAAAAAAAAAAAGCGTCACTGTACTTTATCCTGTGATCTTAAATTATGATTTTCGTAGTACAAGTAAATGTTGTAAACGTTTGCATTTAAGATCTAATTTTTTGTTTGTTTGTTTGATTGTGCACCACTGTCACTACCATGACACACACGTACTCAGACCATGTCACACAGGTTCAGGTACACACTGAGAGCGAGAACACACCACCGCATGCCTGTGGTCGTGTGTTCAGACTGGACTGTCGCCCGCTGACTGGTCACTGATGAGGAAAAGAACAATAACATACATTTACTTTAAACATTAACATGACAGACACAGCACTCGCATCACTTTACTGGCTGTTTCATTTTGTTGTTTTGTGACTGACCAGTGACGGACGTGCACATCAGCTGACCTGTGTGGTCACGTTGATGTCCACCTCTGAGCCCAAGCCCTGAGGAGTGAGTGGGTTGTGAACAACTGTTGCTTTGTTGTTGTGGTTTCTGACCTTGTATGTGTACGGCATGAATGTGTGTATGTGTGTGTGTGTGGTTGCTTGGGCTTGTGTGCCTGTATATACACACATTGAAGTATTACTATGATTTGAAGTAGACCTGACCACATGTCAATGTTGTCGCTGCATAGAGCCTTTGTTTGTATGTAATGTTGAAATAGAAGTCTAGATCGCACCAATAGAATGACAGGTTTTTACCTCCTCCTCTCTGTCATCGATCTGAGATGGAGAAAAGACGAGGAGGCCGGTGGGCTGGATTGAATGTAAAGTGTTTTGTTTCTGTGTATTCAACATTGCATCTTCCTTTGAGAATCTGCTTTTTGTAAGATTTTTCACAATGAATAAATAATAGATGATTGATATAGAAGGAACGGTCTTTTTATTCCAGATCAGTTGTCTGGTTTTATTTGTAGCAGAACACGATAAAAACAACAATGCATTTAAAGGCTGAATTAAATAATAATAAAAAAACAGAGTTCGGCTGTGTCACAGGATCTTCATCCTTAACAGTCATAGTTTCAGTACACTGGTGCAATACTCTGACTGTTACAGTATTTTAACCACGTGTATTTATTTTGTTTTGTCCTTTTTTTATTGTAATATCTACGGGTTTTCTTTAGACTCTAATCTGATTGACTATTATATTTTTTATTAACTTTTTCTCACTGTTGGTGTGTGAATGTTTTCTTTTTACATTTCTTTTGGCATAAGGGCTTCATTAAGTAAAAATGTATTAAATGTACTGTATAAACTTCATATGTATTTATTTAACATAAAAAGGCGCATGGTGTGAGAACAAACCCTTTTTCAAGAGATGGTGACACAGGACGACCAGAAGATGTCGCTGTTTTACAGAGCATGGATGTCTCACAGCGAGACGCTGCGAAGGCCCGGGAAACCGCCATTCTGTCCAAGTTTGGGAAGAAATTCTCGGTTCTATTAACACAGGTTAAGATACAGGTACTTTAAGACAGCGGTAGAATAGTAGAGTCGTTCTTCAACACTTTACATTTTTATATTTGGTCATTTTGGAATGTTTTCAATGCAAATGTGGGTTACAATAGTCATACGACAACATAATAATTTAAATCATATCTCTTAAATGACCTTTTTTTCCCAGAAGCACAGCATTTCTGGTGTGTTTAGCAGCAAATGCAGAGGTGTTACTGATTACATTCACCATGCTTCTGTTTAGTTCATGTAGGGCAGCACTGGGACAATGAGCCATCAATAATTGATTATTTACACCCGATTATCCAGCTGCGACTCGAGAACAAGTCTGCCGTGATAAAGGCCCGTGTCAGATGTGTACTGTACATTAAAGGTAGAGACGTTGATGGACTGGACCTGGACTGTTCACCAGCTGAACAACACACTGTATTTTCACTGGAAGGCATTGACATTGGTTCAGGTTGTACGTGTGACTCCTCACAAAGGAGTGTGTGTGTGATAAATAAGGCACAACCTCAGCAAACTGAGAGGGCCCTCTGTGGAAACATTTGGAACTAACAGAGTTTTCAGACACACTTTAATGGCATTCACAGCAATGACTCCTGGATGTACTGTTGTTGTATACATATATTATAAAACTAACAGCTGTTGTTGACATTATAGATATAAAGTAGATAGATCTAAAATGTGAACAGAATGGCTGTCTGAAACCCAGATGTTCAGTGAGACGTTTTATACATTTATATTTAGCTATTGCTTCCTTCTAGAACTTGTCGTCACACCTACTAACAGACTACATTAAACCACGGAGACTTTCTTCTCTTTCCACCGCTGCCCCTTCTATGCGCAATGTTATTTGTAAACGTGGTAAATGTCGAAATACAATGACTATAAAGTGTTTCCAACAGGAGTCTGAAACTCAAATGAGCTCAGGACCAATGCTGCCACCATCATCATGACGTCATTGGAGGGTCACATCAGTGTTTGTTCAATAACCACTACAGATATTTTAGGAAAAGTAGTTTTTGTTTGGTATGAGTACTATATAGTACAGTAACAATGCAAACAGTGAGGGTAGTATTCCAGTATGAGCAATTGAAATATTTTATAAAATAAAAAAAGTTGGAAATGTAAAAACAGATAATTTTTAGTGTACAATGTGTCAATTTGTCATAAAAGTCTTAAAACAATCAACACCTGTTTGAACACGTCATTATTATTTCTATGTGCTGTGGATCAAACCACAGTTCACTTAATTGATTCATGAAACGGTTTGTCAACCGCAGCGTTAAACGTAGAGCTTCTTCGCCCACCAACACGGTATAAAACATCGCCTCCATTCGTCAGGACGGTCTCTACTTCGCTTAAACAAAACTTTTTTGCTGTTTTTGTCGCGCGTCTGGTGACGTCATCTCAGAGAGAAGGCGGAGATCGAACTCTGCTGCAGCGGATTGGTCCGTGCTCCTCTCAATCACTCATCTGTCTGTTGGGTCTAAGAGTCCAGTTGATGGGGAAAAGGAGAGAGGAACGCAAGTGAGACGCGTGGGAAATGCTGGGAACACTTTGTCTTTCGACTTCCTTAATTTTGTTGAGATTTTACCCTTTTTATTTTATTTATTTTTGATTTTTTTAAATCTTTAATTCCTCGGTGTTTTTGGAGTTTGTAGTTTGAGCCATGTATCCCTGGCAACGCGACTAACTTGCGAAGTTGGATCAAGTGTTTGAGCTCCAGCCTGAAAACTGGGTGGATTTTTATACGCGGAACCGCAGGAAGTAACCTGAGGAGCCGGGAGAGTTTGGACTGATGTGAACCCAACCGCGTGTGTTGATAGTTAAGTGGGAATATTGGGACAGATATTTCAAACGTTGTGTTTAGGGAAACGGGACAGCGCGAAACAATAGTGCTGAGGAGAGGAAGCTGTGCGCGTGCGTGGAACAGAGTGGGAGCCTCGCAGGGCTTTGTTCTGTCCCGCAGGAGACGCACACGAACACTCGGACCTGTGAACTAGATTTAATGCTGACTTTGTGATCGA